AAAAAATGGTCTGAAGCTCAACATCAAAAAAACTAAGATCATGGCCACTGGTCCCATCACCTCCTGGCAAATAGAAGGGGAAGATATGGAGGCAGTGACAGATTTTACTTTCTTGGGCTCCATAATCACTGCAGATGGTGACAACAGCCATGAAATTAAAAGACGCCTGCTTCTTGGGAGGAAAGCGATGACAAAGATGCTAAATGCTAGACAGCATCTTAAAAAGTAGAGACATCACCTTGCCGAGAAAAGTCCGCATCGTGAACGCTATGGTTTTTCCAGTAGCGATGTACGGAAGTGAGAGCTGGACCATAAAGAAGGCTGTCCGCGGAAGAATTGATGCTTTTGAATTGTGGTGCTGGAGGAGGCTCTTGAGAGTCCCCTGGACTGCAAAGAGAACAAACCTATCCATTCTGAAGGAAATCAACCCTTATTGCTCACTGGAAGGACAGATCCTGAAGCTAAGGCTCCAATACTTTGGCCATCTCATGAGAAGAGACAGGCATAGGCATCCTTCAGTCTCGAGAGACTATGGTAACATGCTCTGAATTGAGGAGTGTCCTCTCCAGAGCATGAAGCCTGGGTAAAGTAATATGGAGGATAGGCTGTTACCCAAGCAGCAGATCCCCCCCTCTCCACATTGCTGAAATGGTCCAATGGAAAGGCAAGAGTCAATACAACTGGTTCCAGCAATATCGCAGGAGTTGGCAGGACGACATGAACTGCCTTCGGAACTCCAGCTCCGAATTTTGCCTCTAGGTTAACTCCTGAAGCCTTTTCCATGAGTGGATATAGCCACAAGGCAATGGAGGTTTGAAATTGGAGTTTTCCATCTCCTTGATGGGCTGCCTTCCATGGCTGACGAACCCCACCTACCTGGCCTGCTCTTTAATAGTGCGGAAGTATGATCTGACCCTTAAAACTTTCCTGCCTCCCAGGTGTATGCAAATCTAATTGGCTTTCCTATTTACCATATTAAGGCCATAGACTCAGAAAATTTGAGAATCCTGGGACACGCTCTTTTAAAGCAGAAAGTCCCACCCCCTAGGCCCCACCCCCAGTTCATGTGGTGAGGAGACAAAAAGAAAGCACAGGGGAAAAAAATCTCAGCAAAACATCCATGCAAACATACCTGGCCTTCACCGTCAGCCCAGCTTCCTAGGGAAAAGGTGAGAGAAGAGAAGACTCCCTGGAAAAGACACTGATGTTGTTGGGAAAGTGTGAAGGCAAGAGGAGAAGGGGACGACAGAGGACGAGATGGTTGGACAGTGTCATCGAAGCTACCAACATGAATTTAACCCAACTCCGGGAGGCAGTGGAAGACAGGAGGGCCTGGTGTGCTCTGGTCCATGGGGTCACAAATAGTCAGACGGAACTTAATGACTAAAGAAGAACAAACTTGAATAATCAATACATGGTTTTATAGGACTAGTTATGACTAACTTAAGTCTGATTGGTTTCGGTGGGTCTGCTGTTAGGTGTGATTAAGTCTAGGTTAGAGTTGGCAAAATGTCATTTTTTGAGCTACGGGAGGCAGTAAATTTTCTCATCTCTGTCTGAAAGCAACCCATAATATTATGACAAAAATATATAAATCCTGCCTGGGAACCTCACAACATTTGCAGCAATTAGCAGCAGCACATGAAAGTAGTGTGAAAATAATAAGACCAAAATTAACTCTGTCCTGTGAATGTATGTGTGTAACTAACAAAACATCCTGTATCCTAGTAAAGTGAAAGCATTTGTAAAACCAGCAGTCACAAAGCATGTTACCTGGAAAATATGCTACCTTTTGCTTTGGCTCTGTCAGCAGGAGCCATTGTTTATGAGCCTCCCTTCCAATGCCTCCCCCCAAAATGCTTAGAGGCTCTTTCCCTTCGTATATTTTATGTGGGCAGATGATAGTCCACCGAGCTATCTCTCACCACATGGCTCTCTTCCTGTGAACCCTGTGCTCCATTTACTTTTGGCAAACTATAATTCCCAGATACATGTGCGCCTTGGCTGAGGGAAAAATAAGCGGTGAGGTCTTACTGTGAATATCTGGTATGATATTGCAGCAAAATGGGCACAATGGCAATCTGTGATGAAATGTGTGAACCGTGCCAATTTCGTTACGTAGAATTAATGTCTCACTTATAATCTGTCCTTTAAACCCTGCTGCATGAGATAAACATTTTGTTTACCAATTTTCTAGACCATCGTTTTGCTAAAATAGATTTGTACTTATACTCTAGTTAATTTTGGTATATTTTACAAAGCTTCACCAAGACATTTCTCTGTGTGTTCTTCAATTTAGAGAGAGCCTGGAACGTCTTTCTATGTTTAAGAAGGTTGAACGGAGACCCATGGCTTGGCCATGTCAGCTAACAATTGGATCTAAACTGTCCATAAGGATTGTGGCCTATAAAGCGGTAAGTTGTTAGAAGTACATTGTCAGCAATTTATTTATTTATTTACAAGATTTTTTTTTAGCTGCACCATTACCAGTGGTCTCTGAGCGGCTATGTTAGCATGGATGTCAGTAAAAAACAGGTACTGTGTCGAGAATGAATGATCTGTAAATTCAATTTCAGCTGTGTTACATGCTTGTTAACAACACTGATATATGATTGTGAGCATAGAACAATAGAATATTACTTTTTCATGATACAAAATGTGGAATTAAAATTCAGTCTGATTTCTGAATGCCACATTCATATGGACAAAGTTTAGCAGATGTGAAATCCAGTAGGAGTGACTGTTTTGCTTCATTCCCTTGAGGATCGTTTTTCATTTACTAGCAGAAGGGATTTTACCTGTCATGGACTTTGCTTAGCACTGCTGTAAGAAAATGACTTTTCTAGACCTTTCCTTGCAGTTATTGAAAATTGAAATGTTGGAGATTATAAATTCCAGTCATGTTTTCAGTACTTTTTGTAAGGAAGTCAACAGTGGCGGTACCATTGTTGGCCAGAAAGAAAGCATGTTAATGTGTTTAGTATAGTTTTCATTGGAAGCCAGTGCTATGTAGTGGACACAGTCACAGACTAGAAGTTAGGAAGCATGGGTTCAAATCCCTGTTCAGCCATGGAAGAGGAGGCACTGATTAAAGTACTCCTTGAATGCCTCACATACCTTGAAATTCTTATTAGGGCTGCTCCAGGTTGGATGTGACTTTATAGTACATAATAACAGCTTTTAATGGTATGATGTGAATTGATTTCTGACTCCTGTGTGGCAGAGGAGAATAGACCCAAAGGAAACCAGCAGTTAGGATCTTATCCATACATTAAGATTAAATACTTCTCTCTTAAATTTTGATATTAAGTTCACAGAGGAAAAAGTGAAAAAATCCTGGATGCTTGTCGATGCCAGGACTTTAAAAAAAGAAGATGTGCAGAGAGAAACAGTTTACTGTTTGAATGATGATGATGAAACAGAGGTTCAGAAAGAGGATGTTATCCAAGGTATGGCTTTTGTGCTTTGGGCACCGATTTTCGAAAACCTATGCAGTTTTTAAATCTTATCACACTTTCATTGGAACTGTCTCTCTCTACCTGCATGGCTCCTATCTTTTAGACATTTTCTTCTATTTGTTTCAAACATAATAACAAGCCACAGTTTGTTAACTGCTGCAGGAATGGGTGGTTAGGGTCAAATCATGGTTTCAGGTACAGTGACAACAAAACACAGTTCCTGCTTTCAGCCATGATAATATTGCAGCAGAAAGGCATGAGTTTTCGGTCTCCTCTGCCTGCTTGGAAACAAGGAAGTGTGAGGAGCTTGGAGAACCCAAAACTCATGTTGGCTGTGTCTTACTTCAACAGTCCATGGTTTGCCATTATACTTGAGCCATATGTTTTCCTATTTGTAAGTTGATCCACCAGTATTTCTTTTGGCTCAAGCCCGAAATAGTTTGCATTAGGAACTACCTTTGGGCACTATAGTTGTGTTCTGGTCAGTTGCATTGAGAAAGGGGCATGGCTGCATTTGAGGCCCCATCCTTCCTTGTTTTGACCCATTACTGTTCTGTCTGGTAAGGGCTGCTGCCAGATGCTAGACCTCTGGCTCCTGGTTTAGCTTGGTCCAGTTCTTTCTGGTTGTCTCAGTTAAGTAAAGAGTTTGAATGTGGGCATACTTGACTCCATGATCAGTATAAGGCAGCAGCACATGTGACCTCTCTGCTTGTCACTTTGTTTGTATACATTTTCTGCTCTCTTCACACGGGATAAAAGTACTTGTGAATTTTCAAAAGGTTTATACTTAGATTGTTTTCAAGGGAATAGTGACTTCTTTCTTTCGTTTAGGTGGCTGCTTTTTCATTTCTTTTGTTTTGTTCCCAACAAACCTGGGACTGTTCAGGATGAAACCTGATAGCCAAGGAGCCTGCTTGGAGAGTCTGGAGACCTCCCTTGACACAGCAGGCAGGTTGAACACTAAGTTCCTCAACCACCCCAGTTGGGTGTCTCTGTGTGTGTATTTTTATTCCTGAAACAAAAGCTCGTATCTTGAAAGCTTTCTTTTGTGCCTTTATCATTGGCCTAATAAATGTTTTATGGCAGTATGGATTTTTGGAAACCTTTTCCCGTGCATCTTTAGTTTCCCAAGAGTTTGTTCATTCATTTGGGCACCATGAATTTGGTTCACCTTTCTTTCATGGTCCTGGAAGGCATTTTGTGAACTCCTCCTTAGGCAGCTGCAAAGCAAGGCGGATTCCGCTATGATTAATCCTGCAGCGAGCAAATCCTTAGAAACATCATAGAACAGTTCATCGAGGGTCAACACCCATTAGCCATCAACTTTGTCAATTTTTAAAAAAGCTTTTGATAGTTTCCACTGAGAGTCCCTTTGGCAGATCCTGCATTTGTATGGCGTACCGGCAGTCTTCGTTAACATCTTTAAGAATTTGTGTCGACAATCGAGCTGCTGCATTAAGATCGAGAATGGCCATATGAACTTTTTTGAGATTACACTGGGGTCAGACAAGGCTGTATCTTATCCCCACTCCTTTTCCTCGTGGGCCTTGACTACGTCATGCAGCAAACTGGAGTATGCACTGGGAAAGGCATCCACTGGACTGACCAAAGTTATCTTGGTGATCTGGATTTCTCCGATGATATCACCTTTCTTGAGGAAGATGAAGTGAAACTGCAGCATGCCATGACTGTCCTGGATGAAAGGGGCAAACAAAGTCTGCTTCAGGATAAGCACAGAGAAATAAAAAATCATGCACACGACATCCGCGGCCCCACCACAGGAAATTGTACTCGGACAGCAGCAGTTAGAGGAAGTTCAGAGGTCCATTTATCTGGGTAGTGTGATCACCTGGACTGGAGATGCAGAGGTGGATGCTAATTGCTGCATTGGGAAGGTGATAACTGTCTTCTGGAAGATGAACAAGTTCTAGTTCTCACCATCCATGTTGTTGAAGATTCAGTTCCATCTGTTTGCCTCTATCGTGATCCCAGTAGCTGTTCATGCCAATTAGACTTGGAAGGCATCACCAAGTATCAACAAGAGGCTCAACGTCTTCCGGCAGAGGTGTCTCCTCTGAGTCATAAAAACCTGATATTTCAGTCACATTACCAACTAGGAGGTGCTCCAAAGGAGTGCCTCAGGTAAACTTCACAACATTGTCTCATGTAGAAAACTCCAGCTGGCTGGCCATAATTTCTGTATGAACAATTAGATCCCCAGTGAATTGGCACCCCACAAGTGCCAAATGAGAATGCCCTCAAATAACATGGCAAAGAACACTGACGCAAGACCTGAAGGCACTACATAGTACATGGGAGAATGCCGAAACATTCGCCCAAGACCAAATGAGCTGGAGAATCCCTGCTGCCCGATATGCTACATAGGATCAAAGTGGGTCATCAATTGTTGGCAGTTGTCATGG